GCTCATCAACTTCGCAGCTCGTCGACCTCGCAGCTCGTCGACCTCGCAGCTCGTCGACTTCGCAGCTTGTCGACCTCGCAGTTCTTCGCATATCTTGCAGTTCGCCGAACTCGAGCAGCTCTCTTTCAACGAACTGGGAGGAGGGCAATTGTTGGAGGTGGGTTTAGCACCCCCTATTTAGCCCAACAGGCCCATCAAAATCCACCAGCATTACAATTTTGGCCCATTAACAAGGCCCACAAAATCATCCCACCGTCATCACGTCACCTACTCGCTCACTATAAATATAAGAGAGGAGAAGACCAAGAAAGGGGATCTCGGAAAGGAGAAGAGAAATAGCTCGTGAAGGGATGAGAACACTCACCTCGCCAAAATCACTCCCACCCTGCCAAATTCACCATCACCTCGCCAAAATCACTCCCACCTCGCCAAATTCACCATCACCTCGCCAAAATCACCATCACCTCGCCAAAATCACTCCCACCTCGCCAAAATCACTCTCACCTCGCCAAAATCACCATCACCTCGCCAAAATCACTCCCACCTTGCCAAATTCACCATCACCTCGCCAAAATCATCATCACCTCGCCAAAATCACTCCCACTTCGCCAAATTCACCATCACCTCGCCAAATTCTCTGCCACCTCGTCAAACTGACCTCACCTCATCACCTCGTCAAACTGATCTCACCTCGTCAAGCTGATCTCACCTCATCACCTCGTCAAGCTGATCTCACCTCGTCACCTCGTCAAGCTCACCTCACCTCGTCACCTCGTCAAGCTCACCTCACCTCGTCACCTCACCTCGCCACCTCGTCAAATTCACCTCACCTTGCCACCTCGTCAAACTCACCTCGCCACCTCGTCAAACTCACCTCACCATGTCTTAAACTTTATTCTTATTTCGTTGCCGACCTAAGCTTAATTTAACATAAAATTTCCGAACTCTCCAACATAAGTTGACTTGTTTGACCCGTGCGAACCCACGTTCAACAGTATCTACATTGTTTTTGCTAGAAGGATAGTACATACATTTTAATTAGCTCACTATAGTATTACCCTAATACTGCAACTATTTTTTCCTTTTAGGATATATAGTTAAAGATCCTCATTAATTGACAAAAAAAGAGATTAAGAAGTTGGAAAAAGTTATGGTCAAGGATTTTTTTTTTTTCCCTCTATAAATTGATAAATTCTTATATTTTTTTTCATTCTATGGTCAATATACATAATCAGAACCCATTTTTGAATCATATACTTATTGGTTTTAGTAAAGAATATTGAGTGGCGGAAAGGACTTTTTAAAATGGTGTTATCATACAAAATTGTTGGTGGCATTCAGTCTCGTGGTTACAATGTCGATCTCCTATGACCTCTACTCCGGTATGGCTCACTATAATTTAAGAATCTAACAATCAGATATTTGTATCATTTTTTCTTTTTTTGACTTTGAAACTCTTAATTCTGGTGATGCATGATTTTAGGAATAGGAATAAACGCGAGAACTGTGCCTCCGACTTGTTACGAGGAATGTAACGTGACGTTCCAGAATAATGAATGTAACAAAATGTGTGTAGGGTTGGCTTATAAAAATGGTAGCTGCATTGATCCTGAAGGTGTTAAACAACCGAAATTTTATCGTTGTTGTTGTAACCCTATAATTCTTTCACCTCCTTCTTTTTAATCAATATATTTTCCCTTAAAAAAGTGTTAATGATAAACAAAATAAAAAAATCTTCTTTACTAAAAAGATCATATAAATCTTAAAATTTATTACTGTTTTCGTATTTTCTTTCTTATAAAAAAATTATTTTATAAGATAATTGTGGTTGTCAATATAATTTTGATTACATTGTCACAATTCCATGATTATTTTGGAATTTTTAGATGGAATTTTAGTTGGACTTTTTAATTTGGAAATAATAAAATCAAATGCGGAATCATTCCAGTCTCAAATCCATCCCCTAATACTCCTTGACAAGGAAGGAACGACTCTTAGAATCTAATCTAACAAAGAACGATATCATAAAACGAATGTATAACAAGTTTTGACTCAGATCGATATTTACTTATTTGCTATAGATCTATATGTTTAGTCTCATTTTAGAGGCACCAGTAATACTCTTGCAATGTTTCAAGCAATTGATTTAGAGGCACGAGATATCAAATTCAAAAAAAGGATATCGTGTCAAACGTATTTTTAAAGAGTAATTTTTACCATCTGTGTTCTAATTTATACTATACCTTTTTCCTTATTCAAGATCTCCATCATCTGTTTGCTTATAAATTGTCTTCGATATAAATACACAACATTTTAAGTTTTAACAAATGCCGTAAAACATTTTATATGTGTGGTGATATTATTGACTTTGGTTCAGGTTTGACTCCGGTTCATTAATTCTTCAGACGTCAATCGCATATTAGGTTTGGCTCGAGTAAACCGGAGGCTGCTTGGCTAGAGTTTGCATTTACTGAAAGGCCCAAAAACGGAAGCCGGCCTCTCCGGCCTGTTCCTTTTTTTATTTTTATTTTGAACAGCAAATGATTTTTTTAGTGTATTATATTACAAACAAAAACTCTCTAATTTTATTGTATTATATTACTAAAAAACATTTTGTTCCCAAATGATTTTTTTTAAAAAAAAATTTCCCAAATGATTTTAATGTTAAGTTATTCATATTGTTTTCAATTTCTTAGCTCTACTTAAGAATTTTATTTTTTCAATGTACTTATTTTTTACATCCAAGCATATCTTAAGACTTGGACCATATTTTATTATTAATAAGTAGATTTTTTAAAAAATAATCAAAGCATAACCATAATAGAAATTTCTTGCTTCTTCTATATCAAAAATTAACTCTTGTTGATAAATTGTTCATAACCATATATATATATATATATTTATTGTTACATCAAACCATATTTTAAGAACTTAGACCACTTTATATATACCCTTTTGATTTTTTAAACAATTGGAATTTATTTAATTTACTTTTCTTATTATGATAAAAATTTCTTGCTCCTTCTGTATTAAATCATAATTATAGGTAATAAAGTGGTTGTGATCACAATAATAATATAAATGTATTAGTTTATAATATATCAAAACATATATAAAAAACTCATGATTTGTTTTAGAAAAAAAAAAACGTGAGTGCTACATAGAGAGTTCAAAAATGAGTTCTTCCAAATTGTTGGTTGTATTCTCTCTGGTGGTTACATTAGCCATTTCATACGATTATTTTTGTGGTGAGTTTCATTATACTTTCGAATATATCGTTAATGAATCTATTCGTACTTTTTCCTAATCCCACTTGCTTATGATGGTTCATGGGTGCAGAGATGAAAATAAACGATAAAACTCAGACGTGTTTTGACCATTGTAAAGAGACGAAGTATGGTACAAGAGTAAGCACATGGTACCAGAGTATGGAATGCAACACAATGTGTTTGGAAATGGCTTTCACAGGTGGTACTTGGCTAGTTGCATTCAACATCATGAACTTCCTTACAAACCTTCTATTGATCGTTCTTATTGTTGTAAACGTTGCGTATAAAGATTATTCTTTTAGTGGGTTGTAATTTTATTTAAAACTAAATAAAGGATATCCGCACAGGACCGGTCTGATAAAATAATGACATGAATAAAAAAATAAAATATGGTCCCTTTTTGTTGAGTGTTGATCCTTTGAGTATGTCTGCAAAAAGAAAAGAAGACAAGAAGCATCAACCAGCAACAAGCAATCAGAAGAAGAATTGAAGAAGGAGCTGATCGTGTTTTTGGAAGGAAGAAGGAGAAGAGAAAAGTCAAAGGGAAGATTAGTCAAAAGAAGAAGTTGAGCTGCTAAAGTTAGTCAAGTGGGCCTGCAGTTTTGTACAAGCCCAACTGAAGAAAAGAATGAGAGTTTGTGTAAGTGTATGGTGTGTTATCATTGAGTCTAAGAATGAGTAGTTAAAGTAGCAAGTAGAGTTGTTAGAAGTCCAAGTTAAAACAGTTAAAACAGTTGTGTAAGAGAGTCTATGAGTTAGGGTTAAGGTGTAGAAGTAATGATTAGTAAGAGTAGTTAAAGGAGAAGTTCTATAAGTATGAGAAGCATGAATGTAATGAGATGGAAGAAATATGTATGAAGAGAAAGATTAATGAAAATGAGAGTTGAAGAAAACAACTTCTAAGAGAGAGAGAGCAAAACAAACCTGTTAAAAGTGAGTATTACAACATGGTATCATAGCCATAGTTGTCCAAGGAACCTGTCAAAGAAAACCAAAAGAAAGAAGCACTAAGGAATGGCGATCAACCTGCAATCCTCTCAGTCAGTCGCTGTGTTCGACGGACAGAACTATGAGTTCTGGGCAGCAAGAATGCGGACCACCCTGATGCACAAGGAACTATGGGAGATTTTCAAAGAAGGATTCCCAGACTCCTCACCAAAATCACCTGAAACTCCAGGAGCAGACAAGTCAAAAGAATCAGCAAATCTGAAGACTCTCAAAATCAAAGACACCGCTGCACTTCAAATCATTCAGCATGCTGTAGCTGACACTATCTTCGACAAAATCCTGTCAGCGACGACAGCAAAAGAGGCTTGGGATCTCTTGGAACACTCCTACCAAGGTAATGAAAAAGTCAAGATGGTTAGGTTGCAGTCTTTAAGAAGAGAGTTTGAGAATCTAAAGATGCAAGAAGGAGAGAAGGTTAAGACCTACTCTGATAGGATACAAGCCATAGCGAACCAAATGAGGGCTTTAGGAGGAGAAAGATCAAACTTTGATCTAGTGGTTAAGATATTAGCTTCTATGCCTAAGAGTTATGCTGGTCTAGCCTCACTAATGGAAGAAACTAAGGACCTCTATACAGTTACCTATGCGGAGCTGATAGGGTCTCTTGACGCACATGAGAAGAAGTACTTCCCAGATGAAGAAGAAGAAAATGGTGAAGGAACATTCCATGCTCGATTCAAAAACCTGAAAATGGAAAGCAATGAAAGAGGAAACTCAAGTCAGTCAAGCTACAGAGAAAAGAGATGGTGTGGATTCTGCAAAAGAGACACACACAATGAAGAAGTCTGTTACTTCAAGAATGGAAGAGGGAGACCTGAGTTCAATCGAAACAGAGACACCAGAAGCTGCTTCACCTGCGGCAAAACAGGACATCTCTCAAAAGAATGCAGAAACAGAAGAACCGAACAAGCTCAAGCAACACAGGAAGAAGAAGATGAAGGAGAAGAAGAAGAGTACCATATGTTCTCTGCAAGACAAGAAAATGGAAAACTCTTCGATGAAACCACATGGCTGATAGACAGTGGCTGTACCAATCATATGACTCCAAACGAAAGACTTTTTACCAAGCTAGATACAAGCTTTAGAGTTCTAATTCGAGTTGGTGATGGTGCTGCTCTGATGACTAAAGGGCGTGGAGACATAGCAGTCATGACTGCAAAAGGAAAGAGGATCATCAGGAATGTCCTTCTGGTTCCCGAGATTGCTAAAAATCTACTAAGTGTGTCTCAAATGATTGAAAATGGATATGAAGTTACCTTCAAACACAGAAGCTGTATCATCTTCAATCAAGCTGGAAGAAAGGTTGCTGAAGTAAAAATGGCCAAGAAAAGCTTTCATCTGCACATGCCCTTGAGTGAAGAAATCGCAAAAGCAGCTTCAAGAGAGAAGACTGAGTACAATTGTCAAAGTGCAGGGTATGCTGAAGCCTCGAGTTCAACAATACCATTGCAGTTGAAAATTGAAGAAAAGTCTGCAACAAGAAGAGAAAAGACACCGATGATCAATGTTGAGAACCAGAAGAAGACTGAGTCCAACATAAGAGAAACAGAGATCAAGAAAACCGAAGATGTTGCTCAAGAAGCCAAACTAACCAAGAAAGAAATCAAAAGTGATTCAAACCAGAGGGAAGAAAACTTATCGTTGAGGGAAAGAGAGAAGAAGCTGATTGATGGAATCATCGGCAGAAATGCAAAAATGACTCAAGGAAGATTCGACAAGGGTACTGAGAAGACTCCATGGAAAGGAAAGATGATCCAAGAGATAGAAAGACTTGGATTCAGTCATCAAAATTCGAAATCATCTGACAAGAACAAGATAAATGAGAAGGAGAAGCAAAAGTTGCAAAGGTTAAACAAGGAAGAGGTAAAGAAAGTACCTGGATGTGAAACGCAGAAAGACGGAGGGAGCAGAGCCTCCACAGTTAAGAACCTGCAGAAAGAAGAGAAGCATAAATCAATTGAAGTCGGCGAAAAATTGGTTCAAGAGGGAGCCACGAAATTGAGCAAGGAAGAAGCAATTAAAATCAAGGAAACTCATGAAGAGCAGGAGGGTACGAAAATCAGCTTACCCAGAAGCTATGCTGATGTTCTGAAGAGCAAGGTGATGAAGAGAGAAGAACCAAAGACATCGAGCTACAAAACCCTAAGGTGGAATCAAGGAAACTACTCAAAGGCTCAAGAGGGAGTGTTGAGTGTTGATCCTTTGATTATGTCTGCAAAAAGAAAAGAAGACAAGAAGCATCAACCAGCAACAAGCAATCAGAAGAAGAATTGAAGAAGGAGCTGATCGTGTTTTTGGAAGGAAGAAGGAGAAGAGAAAAGTCAAAGGGAAGATTAGTCAAAAGAAGAAGTTGGGCTGCTAAAATTAGTCAAGTGGGCTTGCAGTTTTGTACAAGCCCAACTGAAGAAAAGAATGAGAGTTTGTGTGTAAGTGTATGGTGTGTTATCATTGAGTCTAAGAATGAGTAGTTAAAGTAGCAAGTAGAGTTGTTAGAAGTCCAAGTTAAAACAGTTAAAACAGTTGTGTAAGAGAGTTTATGAGTTAGGGTTAAGGTGTAGAAGTAATGATTAGTAAGAATAGTTAAAGGAGAAGTTCTATAAGTATGAGAAGCATGAATGTAATAAGATGGAAGAAATATGTATGAAGAGAAAGATTAATGAAAATGAGAGTTGAAGAAAACAACTTCTAAGAGAGAGAGAGCAAAACAAACCTGATAAAAGTGAGTATTACAACACTTTTTAATTTAATACTTGAAATAATCTCAACCTTAAAACCTATGTACTATAAGATTAAAATATTTGTTATCAAGTAGTTATTTAGTAAAAATCTGCACCTACGAATATAACTACTCGACCGCACATTTATCTGCGAGATCCGTGAGATTCATCTTCATTAATAATTTTGGTGAATTTTCTTACAAAATTTGTTTTAGTACTTTATGTGCTTGATCTACTATTACAAATTTTGGTTTCTAACTCGCTCGAGGATGGCCTCTCCCCGTCTGGTCTTTGATTTTCCTCTTCTCTCGGCACTCTTTCTTTTCTCCCTTTGTCGTTTCTCTGTTGCTAATTTGCCATGTTCTTGTCTACTCTTTTTCGCTTAGTCGTTCTTTCAACTTGACTGCTTTGCTTCCTTTCTTGGGAGCATTTGTGTTGCGAGGGGAGGCTTAAAGGTGTTGCGGCTTTGGTTCTTTTCTTGCTTTCTGTAATTGCTTTTTTTGTTCTCTTTGCTTGCTTTTATCTTCTTTAGAATTTGTTTCAGTTTTCATTGTTTTTTGTTCGGTTTATTCTGTTCATATTCCATCCATAATTTATGAAAATCCTTTTGATAAAAAAACAAGAATCCATTTCCATCAAAATACGAAACAACGTCGTTTTGTAAATAAATTTTAGAACAAAACATTTTTGGAAGTAAATATTTGAATCCTTGACATTACAATTAACATGCTAGTGCTACCAATAGTACCAACATATATTATTTTAAAAGAGCACAAACAAATATATTCATATTCCAAGATCATTATGAAAAAAAAAAAAAAATCACAGCAGCGACGCTGCCCCATTTGCCACATAAACACCACCACCTGTCCACCTCGCCACCACTAACATTTTCACCACAAAAAATCAGTAGCGATGAACAAGAAAGAGTTATGTCACTAATTCAGTAACCTGGCTTGTTTTTATTTTTAACACTGGAAGTTCATGAATGATATAAAACCAAACCAAAGAAACTACATCAAAAGTTCCAAGTTTACCAAAGGAAGTACCAATAGCTAGATACCCCAAAACAAATAACCAACCATCGCGCCCAAAGGAAATAGAGAACAAAACATTTCCAAATAAAGTTTGCTTATAATCTGACTTTTTATTAGATTCAAAATTAATCATTTAATAACCTGACTTATTTATTAAGATTGTACAAGAGATAACATTTTGAATTGAAATTCAAAATTTAATAACTATATCACTATTAAATGTATGGTCAATTGACCATACCCTTGAAATTGAATGGTAAGATAATACTTGAATTTATGTTATGAATATGAGTCATCCAACAATTTATAAATAGACTTAATACATGCTTAGAATTAGTTAAATTCTTCAAAAAGTTGTAAGACATCGAATTGTATTAAAATGGGTTCCTCAAAAATGTTGATTATATTCACCCTCACTGTTCTCATGGTTATTTCTTCCATTCATTGCCAACCAAACGATCTCGTCCCCGGTATTTCAAAATTTATATGCTTTTTTTTTTGCATTGTTGTGGGTATATGTTTTTACTCTGATATAATTTCAACATCATTTATTAAAATAACTCTCCAAGTTATCCCAAAAAAAATGTGTTCGTAACATCTATTCTAAATATTTTTAATTTGTATAAAATAGTACTTTTATATTCACTTATTCAACGAATTGGATTGTTCAATTAGGTAATTTTGCAGCTGGCGAGGCCTCAAATACACTTTGCTTCAATCCTTGCACTGATAAACTTGGCGACAACGAGTGCAAAGCGATTTGTGTGAATAAGAAATATAGGAACGGTTCTTGTGTTGGTTTTGGAATCCCCCCTTCTTCCAAGTATTGTTGTTGTGAAAATTAGTTACTCATTTGTTTGTGTTTGAACCAATAATTTTGAGAACAAAACCAATAATAAATGTGATATTTTTTATAAGTCTCTTGAAACATAAGTTTTTTCGACCTTATGACATTAGTACTTCTGATTGACACTGTTTGAGAAATAAATTTATTAGCTAAATATATTGATGTCGATTTGGTATATATTATAATCGATAAGTAAGCTTATTAGCCCCTACAAAACGTATCATTCATTAAATCATTAAAGCATGATTGTTTGCAAATATATGTCGCGTATTTCTCGTAAAAGTGTTTTGAGGTTTGGTGTTGCCAAATTTTATGGAATCTTATGTATGCTATCCCATGTTCGAAAAATCGCCGATTTCTCCGATTAATCGGACGCCTAGGCGGTAGTCGGAGACTGACCGTGGCGATTACAACCTAATCGGTAAAAAACTCAGAAAATGAAAAAAAAAACTTAATTTTGTTCGTTTTCCTTTAAAAACTTATATTCTTTGCTAGATTTTTTAGTTTAGTGGTACAAACATTAGAAAAAAACGAAAAGAGAATGATGAAATCATGGAAGCCGCCGTTTAGGGTTACAGATCGCAGAACTTTGAAGAAGAAGAAGATGATAAGAAATTGACTATTATACCCTTCATTAAACCAAAACCTTATAAAAAAACACAAATAGCTAACTGAGCTTTGAACCCACGACCTCTACGAGAGCAAAACTCAATACTGCCACTGCGCCAGTTTCATCATATAATTTTTATGACAATAAATAATATATAACCAATATATTTAAATAAATACCCCCAATTAATACCCGATTAATTTTCGATTATTTTTCTAGGCGTTAGGCGCACCCTGAACGCTCGACTAACGCCTAGCGATATTTTGAACATTGATGCTATCTATGTATGATCTTTCTTTAGGTCAAACCTTTCATCATCTTAATAATTAAGAGCTGTGAAAATTATATATAATGAATATTTGGGTTCGAATATTTGTATGGGAATTTAGTTGATATGATGATGGACCCTTTAATAGATGGCAAAATGCAAAATATAAACCAAACCCCCCCTTAAAGTTGAAAAATATAGCATCGGTCTAATAAAAACCCACATCTAAATATTTTATATTTAACTAACCAACAGGTTATTGAATTATTGAGAAAAAGGTTTTAAAAAAGGTTATTGAATTATTGAGAAATGGGTGGTTACGAGTTATTATATTAGAAAAGATTGTTATTGCCTTATTGTGACTCTCGTGATAGATGTTTTTGTCTTGGATCTGCTGTTTAATCCAACGATTGGAGTACAAGTTGTTTTTCTTTGTTGCATATGATTGTTTAGGTTTACTCCCCTATTTATTCTTTATCGTTGTTTCTTTTTGTTGTATAGTGAAAAGAGAGAAGGTTTTTTTAATTTCCTTGATTATAGTCAAATCTACAGGGACGGAAAATAGACATGACTTTTGTGCATCACAATAACTTGTGTTGTTTTAATTCTTGCATTTATCGTTTTCTGATAGTCATATTTGTGATCCAAATCTTAACATTATGGTCAAGAATAAATTTTTGTTTTCTGTAAGGATTTAAATACCAACTTACCATCGTTCTTAGGATGGTTTAATTTGATATTTGCAATTCAATGTATATTCCCACTCAGAAATTAAACCATTGAAAATAAAATAAAATAGGAGTACAGTATATGATAGAAACAAAACAATAATTCTCCTTCTTAAATGTGTCGATTTATTGAGTTTCTATAAGATTACATATTAATGGTCAATTGGTCATACCCTAAATGCAAAAAAAAAAAAAGGAAAAACGAATTTTTGGTCATGAATATGAGGTATGATCGATGACCATTCCATCTTATTATAGTTAACTTATTACATATTTGGGCATAAATATGCAAGAAAAAAAATATGATTTAAATAAATAAAGTAATAAACCAATAGTTCAATCTCTTAAATGTGTCGGTTTAATTACTAAGCTATTAAAAGAGATACTAATAATCGGTCATATACCCTGAATGGTATATATTTAAAAATAATAATAAAAACGAATTATGGTTAATGCACAAACATGCAAGGGCGTGACCGACAATTTCTTAAATGTGTGTTGGTTTGCTATTTTACTAAAGTTGTGACCAACGTCTAATTATAACTAGAGTTATCGTTCATTAATATGCAAGAAAAAATATTACTAGAATATTTAGTGTAAGAAATCCAACTGTGTGAAGATGGATTTCTCAAAATTGATGGTTGTCTTCACCCTTGTCATTCTCATTGCGGTTTCTTCCGTCCACTGCCAAACAAATGATCTCATCTCCGGTACTTATATTTTTCATACCTTTTATCGCATTATTTTTGGATATCTTTTAAACGTTTTAGATCACATTTCAGCAACATTTATCAAAATAATTCTGTATGTTATCGGAAATCTTTGTATTCTAAAATCTATTCTGAATTTTGATTTTCGTAAGAAACTGTGAAATTTTTCTCTGGTATTTGTTTCGTTATTTTACTATGCCATTTTGTTGGTTTACATAATTTCTATTCTTCTCCAAGAAATTAAAATAATTAATTTTGGTAGCTGAAACGGGAATGAAAGTGCAAGATTTGCCTCCGAATTGTGGAAAAGATACTCAAGAATGCAACGAGAGTTTCTTGGATCAAGACTGCAATAGATATTGTGTACAACTGTCTTACAAACATGGCGTTTGCATTCTATCGGAAGGACTTATAGGACCTAATCCTCCTAAATATAGCTGTTGTTGTGATTAAATCAAATATATAATTCTTCCTCATCTTGCATCAAATAATATATCTTTAAATTCTTTCCAGTGGGAAGATCGGTCACACAAATATCTTAATTTATCATTTCGTCAACATAAAAAGAAACTAAATAAATAAATAAATAAATAAAGAAAATGTCATTGGAAATTATCAAAAGAACCACAAGAGTGAATGGTTGACCCAAAAAAAAAGTACGAGTGAATGTAGCGAAGTGATTTTAGAATCTTTTTATCAAGGAAAACAATACACTACTGATCTGACACAAGAAAAAATTATTCAACAGAAAATTGTTTGTTCAAAGAAATAGATTAAACCAAATAGCCTTCTATTAAGAAAAAAAAAACTTACATGCCTTACAACGTATAGATATATCCCTAATTAATTATTTCTTCTCATAAGCATTTACAAAATTAATGATGTCTATTCAGTGTTAAGGAAATCAATATAATCATATCTCCTATGATTGCTCAATCCCACATATCTCTCGTGTTTATATCAATTACATTAACTCTGTCAATCCTTATAATTATGTTCTTTGACTATATTATTGAATGGTGAGATACATCTTATATACAAGTATACAGCACAATCAAAGGGCATAATTACATGGATTGACAGATTTAATGTAATTGATACAAATACGAGAGATCTGTGGAAACTGACAACTAATTTTGAGTTCGAAATTGATGCATCTTTTGAATTATGAACATTTAATGTAATAGTACGTTCAAGAAATCGAAGAAGCCTAATCGAACAAGTGTTTCCGTAAGTAGGCAAGTACACACAGTGAAACCATCAAGTTTATCAAAGCTAAAACGATGGGAATCCCATAAGCAAAACAAAAAAATCATTTATTTTCTACATGTGGTTTCGTTATTTTATTGTATTTTATGGCTGCAAGGTTCGTTGATGGTTAGGCATATGTTATTTTTAAATGATCCAAGAAATTAGAATGGAGCACCTATTTATTCAACACTAGGCTACGCATATATATACGTAAATGTCATTCAGTCAATTACAGATTTTCAAAGTAGCATCTAGCTACTACTTAATTAGTTTATGTTATTCGTATATAGACGTTCAAAACCAACCTATAGCCAACAGTTATGTTATTTGGTTTATATTTCGTTTTTACAGATAAAAAAAAAGAAAGAAAAAGAGATATATATACAACAAACTGAGTAGGACTAAAAGACCATAATTCGTGTGTAAACGAATGAGAAGTTTTTCGAATTCAAAACAAAAATCGTTTAAGAAAAGGCATTAACAGAGGCAAATGTTGAAAGACTAAGCTCTTCAAAGACAAAGTATGTAGCACAATTATAAATCCCCCATAAGAATAAAAACAACAAAAAAAAGAACAAGAAGTTGCATTTTATGATAGATTCAAAGCATTATTATTATGATCCTGATGATGATGAAACATCAACATGTCACTACCGTAACTCTCTCTATCATCTTCGCTTCCACCATTGATGTAAACCGTGGAAGATGAATTCAATGGCGTCGAGCTGCTCGAAGAAGTTCCCGGTAGCATTGGTGAACTGAAATTCCACCCGGCCTTAAAATTCTCACTGTTGTTAAATTCATCGGATACAAATGCGGCGGATGGGTAGTTTCCGGTTTGAGGGGGCAGCTGGTTAATAGATTGGTCATTTGAACCGGTGTAGTTGAGATAATTTTCCAAGTATTCTCCATTGTTTTGCCACTGAACCGGTGGTGTGGAGTTGAGCAAACTGGTGAAACTGGTTTGGTAGTCGTTTTGAAGCTGCTGCTGGTTTGGTTGAGGCTGATATGATTCGGTTTGGAAGTTGTTGAGAGAGGCAGTGAAATTATTCAAGATTTCGGGATTAATACTTGAAGTACTGAGATCAACTGGAGTATTCGTCGGTTGCGACATAGATTTGAAGATAGATGAAGTGAGAAACGAAGAGAGCTGAAGAAGATTGATTCGGGGACAATGAGTCACAGGATCAATCCCCATTCGTAAGAGTTTCTTTTTTATATGCGTGTTCCAATAATTTTTTATCTCGTTATCTGTTCTTCCTGGCAAATGAATAGCAATGGCTGACCATCTATACATAGAAGAGAAAAAGCGAGTAAGATTTATAAAAATAAAGTGAAGTGACAAGTAATAGATAATAAGTTTTGACTTGCTAAGGTATTAGCTGCCTAAAGAGTTGAAGATCGCAAGCTAAGCTTTAGACATTTGACTTTGATATAGTGCTTATGTTCTTGTTTTTTAGCTGAATAACATAAAATATCCAAGTAGTATTCTTAGAAAATATAAAGATATGGTTCTGGAAGTCCAACGAAGTAGGTGTAGTAGTGGAAAACTACGTCACTTGATTTAATTTAATATAGACACACAAAAAATCACTTAATAATTATAAACTAAACTGAAAAAAAAAAAAGACTAACTTGTTTCCAAGAAGACGATGAAGTTGAATGATCGTCTCTTCCTCTTGAATAGAGAACTCTCCTCTCTTGATATCGGGTCTTAGATAGTTTGTCCATCGTAATCTACAACTCTTCCCGCATCTTTTTAACCCTTTTTAAAATTTGCACCAAGAAAACGGAATTAGAAACATGATTGCGTCAAGTGTAAACACTAACGTTAATATGTACCTGATATAACATTCTAATCATTATTACTCGTAAATTTTAAACACAAGTGTCAATGTAAATACAGAACGCAAGAAAAACAACCGTAGCATGGAGGAATGAGCTACGTGTACGGTTTGCGCATGTGTTGACACTTGCATGATCATATAGAATTGTTATCATTGATTGTAAATTTTTAAACCACAAACGTAGATTCCAAACGCAAGAACACAACACACTCGTAACACGTATGAATTAGCTAGGGTTTGTGTGTATGTCTAATATATTCATGTATTGTAGTAGGAAATTACCGGCGTTCTTGGGAAGGGTTCGCCATTTTCCGGGACCGTGCGTCTGTATATAGCTGATGAGCTTCTCGTCTTCCTCTGGAGTCCATGGCCCTTTCTTCACTTCATTTTCCTCCGAGCTTGATGATTTGCTCATCTCTTTTCAAATGTTATGTGTTGAGAAAGCTAAAAAGAGAGATATAGGAGCTAATAACTTTGAGAACTTGATTACAAAGAAAATATGGTTTTTTTTTCATGATAATGTATATATAGAAATCTATATGTGGTATATGCAAAGTCAAGTCAAGGAGATTCGGTACCGCCCTTCCATCATCTATCCGAATACGTGTCTTTTCTTGATATACGGAGAAAAAAAGAAGTAGAAAATAACAACTTATTTTGTTGACAAAAACAAAGTGTGAAATTTTTTTTAATTAAAAAAACAAATAAAAAAGTATGAGACCAAGCAATCTTTATTAACCATAAAATAATTAATTGTGATGGGGAGAGAATACGTGGCAAAATATCAGCGGTGTAGGAGGACGTGTGATAGATAAATGAGGAAGGTTCTATTTGTTTTGGTCTCTTTGTCTCAAATCATCAAACAGTTTGCAGGATAGCTCTGTTTTTTTTTTTGGTCCATTATTATATAAAACGCAAATTAACTCTGTTGCATGCATGCTTAATGTTTACTTATTAGTCATAGACATCAATAAAATTTTGTATTTAAAGAGGCTATAATAAATAAAAGTTACGTAAATACCTATATCCAAAAAATATTGAAACTACGTTTTGCTTTCGTTTGGCAGCTGTGCAGCTGGTATTGCAAACGTTGTGACTGATAGCAACAATTCCAGTTGCAATTTTGAAGTTTTTCAGCGATCAAAAATTTCAGATGCATATCAGTGTGTCTGGCTGCAGCCTGCAGTGTTTGATCGCAACCTCTTGCAGCAGGTAAAAGATGCTGCTTAATTGTAATCGCAGATTTCTGTGGCAGACAAACGAATAGCACCATAATAACAATTTAAAAATGTGAGAAAGATTGATGGTTGCGAGAACTAATAAAAATTAAATGGAAGTCATATGAGTATTATATTATCGATAAAAATTGAAACCATCTTGTCATTATAATTTAGTAGCGAGATAGATGAGCGTTGAAATCCGACTAAAATAGTAAAAATTCAGTTTGAATTTTCAATGACCAGAATAGTTAAAATTCAGTTTGAATTTTCCATCCGACCAGAATTCGATCTGTTTTATTTTCTTTTTGTGTGTTGAACAGCTTATGAAAAAGGACGTTAATTGTAAAAGAATGTTTATAAGAACATATATATAAAAACTCTATCCATAATTTGTTTCTTCAAAATGGTGTTGCTTATTCTCATGATAATATCTTAAATCGACAAGAATAAAAAACACAGCATAACTGATCATCTATGTTGGCAAAAAAAAAAAAAAAAACTGATAATCTAAGACATGTATATTTTTTTACCAAGTAAATTACGACAAAGCGTCGTTGCAGTGCAACATACGTAACGAACAAGCAATATAACTGGTCAAAATACACGTGTAACAAATGAAACTCTATTATATCTGTACATGTGCCTGAAAGTGAGTGAGTGCTAACTTGCTAATACAGTAAAACCGCCGGGTATCATTGAATATTTTGGATTGCAGAGAGTTCAATGATTCGAGACTTTTTCTTATTTTTTGATCATGGATTCGAGACACTTTCACTGATTCTTTTATGAAAAGTGACATTTCACCTATTTTAAAATAAAGTAATTACTGTTTCAGTTGTATAGTCGTTTAGATTTAATTAGTACATAAGTTTAAAATTTATTGAAAATAATACACTGAGAAATAAAACATACTAATCTTATTTAAATTTCATTGCAAGATATTATTAATGTTTCAAACTAATTATAATGGATTTGTTCTTTGGAAAGTTAGAACAAATATTTTGTTTTTGAAATTTCATCGGAATAAATGTAAACCGATTCTCACTGTGCTGGTTAAATGGTTCGATTGTTAAATTGAGATATCAGGATTTGATTTCCTTGATAAAAAAATTCAGAATCCGTATATAAAATCAATCTATGTTTTGATCGAAAATTTTCTAATTATTGAACAACAGCATCCATAATTATTACTAATAAACTTTTGACTATATGAGATTTTTTAAATTAAATAATGTTATTGTGAACTTATCGTGTTTGGAGTAATTTTTATTTTAAGTTATTTTCTCGGTCACTATAATTTGCATATTGACTTTTTCATACTTTTGTTTCATAATTATTAATTTTGAGGTTTTCTATGCATTTTTATTAATTGATATTAATAAATTATAATATTAATTATCAAATATTTAAATTTATTAAATTACTACTGACTCATAGCTATAAAAAAATAATAATTTATTGCTAAATATTGATTTTTTTTATGAAATTCAAAACTGTTCTATTAGAAATAGATAGAGTATTTAGATCCCTACCAGAAATTAATACTAAGAATGAGTAAGAGAACAAAAATCCAGATAATCTTTTAAAATGTTATTTAATTTTCCAACTAAAAAATACTAACAATTATTATTGGTAGATAATGTATTTTTTTTCTATAATGAATTGGTACAGAATGGTACTTCCTGCTTTATCTACAACAATCCCAACAACCCAATATTAAAATTTATCATAAATTTGTCTTCTTAGAAAACATTAAATAATCACAACGCAAGGGGGTCTTTGTTTCAAATTTATTAGTTCTCTTAAAAATTAGCAACTATCAATTACCCAAAGTCTTGTCACAAAATAAACTATCTATTTTGCAAGTCTTTTCATATGTCAATTCCATACCCAACTACCATATTCCTTTTAGTTTTCTAAGAAATGTAATTTAAATTAAATTCAACTATTACAGTTTCTTTCTTACCGTCTCAGAGTTTCCTTCACAATTTAAAATATTCATACTTCATTACATCATAGCTTGCATGTCCTTCTTTTTTTTTTTTGTTAAAGTTCTTTCTCCATTCTATTATTACTAAAGATATTGAAAACAACATTAAAATACTTTCTAGAATTCTCCTTAATGATATAAGTGAAAAATATCATATCATGAAATAAAAGTAATATTGCCAATGTCGTAAAAAAAATCTTCATGCAATTCTTCATTCGAAAATATATTCAAACATCTGCATTTAAATAAATGTATATTATCCCTTTCCTGTGTAAATATATATGAAATTTTCTAGCCTTTTTTTTTCATCGAAAAAACAAAAGTCAAGCTGAAATCAAAGCAAACCAACTGATTAAAAATAAAAATAAAAAACTAATCAATTAGTAGTTAACTGTTATATATACCCGTCCCTCTCATTTTTTACTTTAATTAGCTAAACATTGCATATTTACTTATATTTAATTTGATTGTGATTTGTGAGGATCGCTATAATAAAAGAAAACTTATATATATTTTTTTTCTTTTGTCAACAATGGCGAGGATAAGATTTATGATAGAGTATGTACAAATGCATATAAAAGACGTAATAGTCGTAAATCGTAATGGTATCAATTAATTGTCTACTGGATGATGAGCATATCAAAAATAGCGTCGATTGTTTATAATTAGAAAGTTATATGTGCTTGTATATAGCTACATTGTAATCAGCTCTAGATTTACGATCGAAGAATTATGACATTAATAGTCAAAATAAATTGATTAAAAAGAAATTCCATGAGGCTTCGTTTAAACTTGATTAAAAAACAAATAAAGAAATTAGTATTTTTTCATAGAAATAAAGAGACCAACATATATTAATACACACTTTATAATTTAATCATATATAAGATTACTTATTATATCTATTAATTGTTATCAGGATGGAATTTTACTGACCATGCAATAGTCTCCATCAGGAATCTACATAAAGTTTATGTGTAAGCTTAAATACTTACAAAAACTTATATTCCTTGAGGGATCCAATATAAACTCTTATGTTGTTCGTATTATATCAATGTGAATGGTTTACATATATAATTATATAAGGAAATTTGTGGGTGTAGTCTTGGTTTGTGTATACACGCTTGAATGTGTTTTCGTTTGTTCTATGATCCAATGAACGTTGGTTGTTCCGGATAGTAAAATAAATGATTTATAATTACAGGATTTGGGTCATGTAGAGGCATGAAGGAAAATGATATAAGAGAATTGAAGTTAGTTAAATTATGTTTGTGTTTCTCTCTCTCCAAGATCTCAGTGCCCTATTGATGCACAACTGAAAAAAGAGATATTGGATCACTCTCTTAATGAAATGTCTCATAAATCAATTTATGCTTTTTGGAGCTGGGACATAAAATCTCGATAAACATTTAATAAAAAATTGAGTAGAGAATACTGAAGTTGTGAGAAATATTTTGTGTATATTTTATCCACAATATATACAGCCAACTGCTACTCCTTTTTGCATTTCTCTTTGCCTCCTCATTTTTGTATCTCTCACTTTCTCTTTCTCGCTCTCTCACTTTCTCTTTCTCTCTCTCTCTCAATGATGTTTAGGCAAATCAGAGCTCTGACTTGTTTTGGTCCAGTGACGACAAAAGAAGTACTACAAGGATGATGACGCCAAGAGCTTCCGCAGGCTTCTGGTGATCTTCCATTTTGTCATGAAAATGTGGCGGCGAGTGGGGAAGAGGAGAGGCCGGCCAACCTCTTCATATCCTTGCCGAAAAGGAGGAAAAGGAAGAGAAGCGATTGAAGAGTGTATGGAAGAAGACCCTCCACAAGGCGGTGGAGGCAAAGAAGGCGAAAAAAGATGAAGTTTGCCAGCAATATGTGGAAAAGGCCATCCAAGCTTATATGGAAGCAAAGTGTTGTGAGAAGAAATCTCAAGATCTACGAGTTCTTGCAGCAGAACAGAGGAAAATACTTCAGCAGTGGAGACTCCCGCTCCTGTGACTAAGACCAAAAGTAAGCTTAGGAAGAAGGAGAAGATCAAGACCAAGTTTGATCAAACAGTCGAGAAGAGGAAGATTTTGGCTCGGGCACTGGAAAACATTAAGGTGACAGTGAAGAAGACCACTACTCCGGCGGTGGACGTGGAAGTATAAGAGACTTGGACTCCGGCTTTGGATCTCCTCCGTATCCTCGCCGAGGAGGAGGAGTTGG